CACACACACACACACACACACACACACACACACACACACACACACACGGGTGGCGGCCGGCAGAGGAAGCTTTTCAAGCTCAGCTGGAACCCCACACTGTCAAGTGAAAACTGGAGGCTGCAAACAGCCACAGTACCCCATGGCAGTGAGCGGGCTTAGGGAGGGCAGGTGGGGGTTCAGAGATCGTGGGAGCCTTGGCAAGAGGGCCAGCGAGGCCACACAGAGCGCTGGTGAGACGGCCCTGCCGCCCAAGGCCCTTCGTAGGTTCAGTGCCTTCTGCAAATCTCAGGCGGGAGGCTTGTGCCCTCTTCATTCCCTCCCCAGTTCTGTGAGTGTGCACAGCGGAGCTTCTGTAGCTGTGTCCCCTGTCTGCATTGTCTTGGGGCACCCCAGGACAGGAACCTCACTCCTCAGCCATGAGGCTCACTGCCCCAGTGTTCTTGATGGAAATCATCAGGCTGGAGCGGAGGGGACTTCATCGCCTCTCCAAGCTGAAAGGGCACCCAGCCATGGGAGGTCAGGCACAGCCGGACCCAGGAAGCCAACACGGATGTTACCCTCACCCTCAGCTGTGAGTGGAATCTGCCAAGAGACTTGTGCTTACGAGGACCTGGTTGCCCACTGCATCTTCAAGGCAGGATGGAGGCCGCTGGCAGAGCGCATGCCGGCACTCTCACCTGCCTCTGCCGTCGCCACAGACCATGGGGCCTGAGTACCCTGGCTGTTGCCAGGCAGAGAAGAGGTCTCCTGGGATTCATGGCAACAGGCAGTGAGGGACCCCATCTGTGCTCCCTCGGGTGTCCTCCCAGGAAGCATTAGGCAGAGTGGAAGCCAGGTTCAAAGGGGCCCTCAGCTCCAGGCAGAAATGATATGGGGAATGATGATGCCATGTAGGGCCACACCTGTGGCCATGGGGCGCACACACGTTACGTATGGGCACAGGCAAACGCACAAGTGTACAAACCAAGACAGGGGTGTGTTCAGAGTCACATAGGGTGTCAGGGTGACACACAGAACACTTGCTTCCAAGAGATGAATCAGCTCTGGAATGGCACACAGGTGGCCAAGGAGAAGCCCCGTTGCCCTGGCAACACATCCCAGGACTTTGACTCAGTGGTGCTATTCATCTGCCACTGGCAGGAGGGGTTGCTAGGGACCCTAGGCCAGCAGGAGGTTCCCAGTGGCAGCATGAGGACTTGATGTGCCCTGGGGCAGAGAGCAACACACGGTCTTTTCCTGGGACCAGAGGGACATAGGGTCCTGGCTGGGATGAGAGAGGCCACGGGGCCTTGGGTAGACAGTAGAAGCAGTGCCCTGTGCTGGAAGTCTAGGAGGCCTGTGAGTCCACAGCTCTGAACGGCAGTCACTGGGGCGCCCACCTCCTTAGCCATGGACACAGCCAGCCCAGCCCTCCCATGTGGTCATGGCTTGCCCAGTATCTTTCCGCCATTGCTGTTACTCATGCCCAGGCTGGTAGAACATCACAGGTGTCATGGTCTGGTAGCTCTTCCCCTTAGCATAGGTCCCGCCCACCCACAGGATAGCAGTTAGGAGCCCACATCGGCCACAGTGGCCAGCAAGGTGATGAGGGGCAGCAGGACCTTCTGCCTCCTGCTGCCCAGCTAAGGCATCCTCACCCAGCACTGTAGGTGCCTTGTCCATGGTACACAGGTGACTCCCAGGGACTAGATGACCCTGTCCCAACTCTTAGACACATCCCCACACAGCGAGCCACTGCAGAGAAAACTGTTCCAGCTCAGAGTCCCCAGAGGGTTTCCTGTGGAAAGCGCCTGCTGCTCAGGCAGTATCCTCCAGACCTGTCTTGGGGTCTCACTGGGCCAGACAGGCCAGTTCCTGACAACTGACAGTGCCTAAAGAGTCCCCAAGTTGGCAAGACCTAAAAAAGGAGACAGCTTTCTGGGACTACCCGGCTCGACTCCACTCCCAGCCTTGGCCGGAGAGCTGGACTTTCAGTGGAGTTCACCGACCTCTGTCCGGCACCCTATGGGATATCCACAATGTCCACAATGTCCGGCTGTTGTGAGATGGGCTGAGCTGATGTGGATGGAGGCTGAGTAGGGAGCCCAGCGCTCAGGCCTGTGAGTCCTCTTCACAACAGGCTGGGGTCCCCCTCCCTCTTCGGCAGAATGGGAGCGTGAGAAAGTTCCTCCTCTCCCCACAGCCATCCACAGAGGCACTCCTTTGTTATTAAACACAAAGCGAGCAGACCTGCGCCCCCCCGCACTCCCCAAACACCTTTACTGCACTAAAAACGGCATTATAAACAAACACATTTGGGGACGGTGTCTCAAAGATTCACATACAGTCAGCAGCAAACACAAAGGTATCAAACAGTGCAGGATATAGAAAACGGGACCTCACAGAGCATAGGGGACGGGAGATAGAAAACAGCAGGGGACCCCCTGAGACCCTCTGCCCTCCCCCGCTATTGACCAGCCCAGGTGTTTGGTGTGGCCCAGTTCCAGAGACCACGGGGACAGGGCATGGGAAGGAGTCAACTCCAAGGTGCCAGTCAGCCTCAAGGGTCCAAGCAATCAGCTTCCATGCCCTTTCCTAGGGCGGCTTTCAGAGTCTGAGGAGTCAGCAACAGAGAAAGAGATGCAGGGTCCCCCGGCCCACCAGCGCCCACCAGTCAGTCCATTCTGTTCTGAGTCTGTGTGAAGTACAGCAGCCATGTGTCCCAACCCACCAGGGTTTCCTGTCCAGGAAAGCCACACACACACAGCCCAGAGCCCTCCCCCCAACACACACACTATTTACACTCCGGAGCAAAGAGCTGCTGGCCAAGGGCACCCTGGGAAGGCTTAGCTCGCAGGATGGGAAAGGAGCCACAGGCTTGAGGCAGAAGCTCCGAGTTACAGGTGGCTCTGGTTGGTCAGCAGGAGTGGAGGGAAGCCTATGCAAAGGAGCCTTGGCACCGCATCCCTCCGCTCCTGGTGCGCTCTGGCCTGCCAGTCTCCTCTGTGCCGGCCTGAAGGCCAAGCCCTCCTGTGGTTCCTTAGCCAGAATTTGGGAGCCTGGGCCTACCTGGAGCCAGCCTCGCCAGAGAGGATGACCTCCCTCAGACTGGGAGGTCTCTGGGCACCCATGCTGTGGAGAAAAACACCCTGTTGCAGCGAAGGAAAAAAACAATGTTCCCCACTCAGGGAACTCATCTCCGAGTCCCAGCAGCCTCAGGTAACCGGGATCCTGGGACCGCTAAGAACCCCCACAACTCTACGTGGATGGGCCAAGCAGTATCATAGGGTGGAAGAGGGAGCGCCGGTCTAGAGAGCGGCCCATCTTCTCCCAAGAAAAGAGCAACAAGAGAGATCCAGGGAACGCAGGGCCGCAGGGCACGCCCACCCCACCCCTCCGCTGAGCGCAGTGTGGAGGGGAGGAGCCGGTGACCTCACAGAAAGGGCAGCAGAGAGGTCAGTGGCAGTTCCTCCTCCCCCAGGAGTGTGTCCCGCTTGAGGCTGCTCCCCTTATTGACCACCTTGATCCTGAGGGCCAGCTTGCGCACACTGGCCGGGCCCAGGCCATCAAAGAAGAAGTCCTCGTTGAAGATGGGGTGGCGGCTGTTTTTGATAATGGTGCTCCGCTGCTTCTGCAGCTTCCCGGGGACCAGGCACAGCCCCACGCAGCAGTTGATGCTCCTGGCGTCGCAGGGCCGGTCGTAGAGACCCTCGGCCGCCAGCAGGCGCACCCGCAGGCGGGCCTGAGCCGCCTCGTACTCGGCCAGCAGCCTCACGCTGCCCCTGGTGCCTATCCGCACTGTGTGCTCTCCACGTGGGGCCTGGCCAGACTCAGGGCCCGGCTCCGGGGTGGCCCTGCGGGTCAAGCGGCGACGGACACCTGGGCTGGTGTCTGGCGTGCTGTCGTCGGCAGACAGGGAGCCATGGCGACCCACGGACTGTTTCAGCTGGCTCACTTTGGCCTGGCTGTCCTGGGCGAAGCCCTTGAGCAGCGACACGGAGCGAGAGAGCAGAGGGGACCCGAAGGGGGAGGACTCCGCAGAGGACCCCGTGTCACTTTCCCCGCCACTGAAGTAGCGGCTAGGGCTCATGAGGGTCCCCCCAACCTCCCGGGATCCCCCATCACCCCCATTGGCCTTGGCACCGGCTCTCCGGCGCCCGGCGCCAGGGGAGCCCACCTGGGCCAGGGCCCCGTGCTCACTGTGGAAAAGGGACTCCTTGCGTCTGGTATGGGGACTCTCCGCCAGTGTGGCAAAGCCATAGGACGTCTGCGCCTTGGGCACAGAGGGCAATGACATGGCACCCTGTGCCTGGGGGTCGGCGTTGGTGGCCTCCTCGGCTGTCCAATCCTCTGCACTCTCTATCTGAATCACGTGCCGTGTGGCTGCCTTCAGCAGGCTCCTGCTCTCCGAGGCCAACTTGACCGGCAGCCTGGGGCTGCGAGGCGATCGGCGGGGCCCAGGCGAGGCCAGGTTCTGCTCTGAGGTGGATGGGCCCAGGTCCGCCTGCCCTTCAGCCTCTGTGGGGCCTGAGGGCAGCTTGGGTGGGATGAAGAAGTCGGGGATCTTGTCCGGAGTCAGCACGTTGCTATAAAGAGGACCCTTGGAGGCCTTGTCCCGAGCCTCTCCACCCACCCCGCGGCTGGCTCCGTTCTCCCCAGACCCCCGAAGTCGTTCCAGGAACCACATGTTGGTTTTCCTCATGAGGACAACAGGCAAGAGACCAGGGCGTCTGGGAAAAGAAACAGGGGTCAGAGTGACGCTTGCGTCCAAAGGTCACCTGTCAGGGCTGTCAGAGGGTAGGACCTGTGTTAAGGGGGTCACCTGTTTGTGCCCAGGGTCAACTGACTGTCAGGGCTGTCAGGAGGTAGCACTCATACACAGGGGTTACCTGCCAGGGCCCCATTGGGTTGACAGCTGGTTCAGGGGTCACCACCTGCCAGGATGGAGGCCAGCGTAGTCTAGGTCACGCTGAGCGCTCTTGGGGAGCCCTGAGCAGGGTCAGTCTCCCACGCGAGCCGGGCCCGGCCTGCATCCTGCGCACCCACCCACCTGAAGGGTTCGGGGTCCCTCCCCCCTCCCCCGGGAATCACAGGCCGGAGCTGCCCCGGCCCCGCCCCCAGCTGTCACCCACCTGTGGCTTCACTCAGCTGCTGCACCTTGCGTTGGGGGAGGCGGCGGCAGCCCTGGGCCCCGCGCAGCGAGCTGACCGCGCCCCCGACTCCCCGTGCGCCGGGTCTGGACACCGCGGAGCGCGCTGGGCTCAACAGCCGCGCGGGCTGCGGCGACTCCGGAACGCGGGGTTCGGCTACGGCCCGGCGCAGCTGCGAGGCGGCAGCGCAGCGGCCAGCTCAGCGCTCGGCGCGGGAAACCGCCCACCAAGCCGTATTCCTCCGAATGCGGCCGCGCGCCCGCGTCCCCCGCAGTCCGCGAGGGGCGGGGTCTCCCGGAACTGGCCGAGGGTTGGGTGTCGGGGGCGGGGCTCCTCATATGGGGATGGGTCTGCATGCGGGGCGGGGCCTAGAAGATAGTCTCCGGGTTCAGCATGCGGGGATGGGCGGAGCTTCTGATAAATAGGGTGGAGCCTGAAGAAGGGGCGGAGCTGGCAGGAGCACTGAGACTTAGTTGTTCGGTCCCGGGGCCAGGGTGGGTGGGGCGTGGCTTCCTGGTACAGGGAGAGGGTGCTATGAGGGTTAGAAGAACCTAACAGGCCAGGGGCGAGTCCAGCTGCATGAGGCAGGTGTTGGGCTCTGGACGGGATCTCCCGGTACCAGCTTGTACAGCCTGTGGTCCTGCAGTACTGATCTGGGCCTCCAGTACTACACTGAGTGGAATAGTCTGGATGGGGAGGCTGAGGGGCGGGGCTTGTGACACAGGACCCAGCTGAGTCAGGACCCACTTCCGGTCCGGGCTCCGCCCTTCAGCTCTGGGGAGCAAAGCAGGCCCCCTCACTAGTCAGCTGTTCGTCAACCAATAATAATAATCGTAAAGATTGGATCTGGGAACTAAGTACCAATTGGCCTCTAAATGACCTTCTCCGTCTCGGGTTCCCATAGCCGGGGGTCATGCTCAGCATGAGGTGACAGTTTCTCTGTAGGAAAAGAACCCATCCGGAGGGAGGCCCGGTCACTACTAACTGGGTTTCCACCGCTCAGCAGCAGGACCTGAGAGCAGGCACCTTCCATGGGCCTACATTTATCTGGTAGCCACCTGTGGGCCCAGACGCTGGGGACAGCCTGATGACCATCCTGGAACCCAGTGAGACAAGTAGCCACGGATCAACGCACAGGTGAACGGCAGTGTAGGTGTGTGGCTCTCTAAGACAAAACTATCGCAAGCCGGGAGTGGAGACACACACCTTTATTTCCAGCATTTGGGGGGCAGAGGCAGGCAGATCTCTGTGAGTGGGGCTAGCCTGATCTACACAGTACGTTCCAAGACAGCCAAGGCTACATAGTGAGACTCTGTCTCAAACAAACAAAACAACACAAAACTCTACCAGGAAATTGAGAAGGAAATGGGAAAAAACTGCCATTGGCCAAGACAGATGAAGAGGTCTAGCAGTTAGGCCAGGGCTCAAACTAAGGGCAGCTACAGGATGACAGCCCCCAGGAACCAGGCTGCCTTGGGCTTGCTCAGCTGGAGTTCCCGTGGCCATACACACCCGCCTCTGTGTGACCCCAGACAACCTCTCCCAGCCTGGGCAGGTGAGCAAGTATCTTAGCCAAGGGTCCTGACCCAAGCAGCAGAGGCCCCCAGAGGCTGGCTGTCACTGCTGAGTGCAGCGGCTGCCTCCTGCACCCTGTTATCCTGGGCATCTTAGAACAGGAGGCCCATGGAAGCGGTTATCTGGAAATGGGTCTCTACAACCACCCTGCTGGCCCTTGTGGACCCCACCCTGCAGAGAGGGAGCCTGGCCCTCCTAGCTGGCAGATGGCAGACAGGAGCCTCTGGGTCAACAAAGCCGTCTGCCGCTTTCTGAGCTAAGCAGAACCACCACAGAGGCAGACGTGGCCAAGCCCTCCTAGATAGGACTCAGGCTCGCCTCCTCGTGCAGAGAGCTCCAAGATTAGGTGGTACGCATCCAACTTTTTTTTGCAGTCCTCCAGTGTGTGACCTTTGCCCCCAGGCCAGTGGGAGGGGCGTTTCTCAAGAGGTCTGCGTGGCATTCTGCTCCTATCTGCGGCTGAAGGGATGGCTCAGTGCTTAAGAGAACTTGCTCTCATAGAGGATCCTCCAGCACCCGAACGGTGTGCAGACATACGCACGGGCAAAACACTCGCACACATAAAATACGATACCACAGAGCTGAGACTCAGGGCTCCAGACACGGCCCCATCCTTGTGCCCACAAAGCTGTAGCAAGGACACTCTTGTCCCAGAACTGTGGGCTGTGGTCACAGGGGCCTGATTGCTCCCACTCCGTAGCCTGTCCACTTCCAGACATGTGCAGCACCTGACAGGCCCACAGGAAGTGGGCCTCCAGTCTGTGTAAGGGGCTAATGAATACTTCAGAGGAAGACAAACCTAGAATTTGAACTCAGAACTCTCCTATACCCATCCCAAGATCCCTCAGGGCAAATGTTTAATTGAGTAGTTGATGGTATAAAAGGGAGGGCTGCGGGTGGAATCCCCCAGAGCCACCCATGTGGGCTTCTTGGTCCCTGCTCACGTCACACCTGGGCAGTCTAGACTCTCCGGGCTCAGGAATCAGGGAGATGATGAGGCCTGGCAGCTCTGCTATCCTTGCCACCGCTCACCATGGATAAACCTTTGGCAAGTCAGCTGCTCCCCCAGCATCCATCTCCTGCACAGTGACCCGGAGTCCCTAAATCAGACATGTCTGAAAGAGCACCAGACACAAGGACTTCAGAGAAAATGGGTGCTGGACCTTGGGAAGGCCTAGTACATGAAGGAATTCATGAATGAATGAAGCTCATTTAGACCCCCTCCCTGACCCAGGTTCCAGAATCTAACTACACTGCCTCTTCCTAGTCCCCAATCATCCCTGTCCTGTCAACAGGCATTTCTTGCCAGAGACTTTTCACTGGAAGTCAAGTTTATGGCCTCATTCATAAGCCCAGCAGTTTTCTCTGGCACCCAGCCACTCCCCAGCCCTAAGTCCTCCACCCGTCCCTGGGCTTCACACATACAGGTGTCCTCACCCTGCCCGGAACCTTATCCCCTCCACCGCAGAAGCACTGACAGTCCCACAGCGAAGCCCCCCAGATGTCCTGGGATCACTGAGCTCCAGAACTCGCCCTTCCCCAGATGTTGTTTACTAGGATGTTCACAGTGGTGACTGGCTGATCCGAGTCTTTGATAGTCTTGCATGAACGGGCAGATGGGGAAGTGGGAAGAAGGGCGGGCGAGATGTGGATAGGGATGAAGGTGGAGTGGGTAGATGAACGGATGGGGAGTAAGTGGATGAGAAGACACATATATGTATCGATGGGTGGGTGGGTGGATGGGTTTGTTAGTAGATGGATAAATTGGTTGAATAGGTAGGTAGGTAGGTGGGTGGGTGAATGAATGGATGGGCTGATGAGTGGGTGGGTGGGTAGATGCATGGCCACACGAATGGGTGGATGAATGGATGGATGGGTGGATGGATGGATGGGTGGATGGATGGGCAGATGAATGGGTGGACAGAAAGGCAAGTGTGTGAACAGATAAGTGAAGAGGTAGATGGGTGGAAGGACTGGAAAGATGAGTGGTGGAGATGAGGCCCTGAGCCTCTCCATATTGGGAGGAGGAGGGCAGCAAGGTGACTTGTAACTCTGCTTTTAATTACACCTCATGTTGGGGCAGATGTTTTACTCCCGTGCCCTCCCCGGCATGAGCTCCACAACCACACAGTCCTTCCCAAAGGCCCAATGTGCAGGAGCCATTCATTCAGGTGGGGCACCTAGGGGGTAAGCCACGGTGTTTCCAAGAAGGGTCTGGGGAAACAGAACAGAGAGAGGCCTGCTGTATCTTGGAGTAAAATCAGAGCCTTGTTCAGCGTTGGAGCACAGAGGGTGGGGTGCTGTGGACAGTTCAGACCCCACAGGCCCACCTAGCCCAGTCTGCTCCAGCCCTAGGGGTCCATACAGCCTCCCCCTCAGCCTCAGTTGTCCACCTGGAACCCCTGGCAGGTCCACACAGGCACAGCAGGCTCACGCTCAATGCTGTGTTTAATTACAGTAGAAGGTCCAGGCAGGCTACAGCTGGGAGGTGCTCCATGGATGCCACACCTCAGTGAAGTTCCTCAGGCCTCTTACTCACCTGGATGCCCTACCATTTCAGCTAAGCCCCAAGGCTGCTCCCCTATCAGGGATATGAGACCCAAAAGCACCTTAATCCCCCCCAAAGCAACAGTGCATCTGGGTCCTCAGAACCCAGCCAAGGCAAGAAGTTACATCTGCCCACAGAGCCTGATGTCTCTGCCCCTACCGGGGAATGGAGGTACAGGCCTGCATTTGGATGTCTTTGTTAAAGGCGACTTGGTCTGTCTTTGGTTTATACAGCCTCACCCAAGTTCAGGGTTGGGGCTCAGGCGGGACCAGGGGCTTGGACCCTGACTCTGTCTCACTGGCCCAGCCAGCCCAGTGCAGCTGGGAGTAGGCGGCTTCCTGTGGCTCATGCGGCGGAAGGAGAAACAGTAGTCATTCCGGTTCTGGTGGTTTCTCAGGGTCCGAGAGAAAATCTGAGCCCTCAAGGCCACAGCAAGGACATCTGGGGGTAGGAGTTGAGCTGAGGACTATAACCTGTGGGCAGAAAGAGGGGAGGTCACCATGTCAGGGTGACCATGACAACAGCCACCTTGGTGTACACTAAATAGAAAGGGCTTCCTCAGCAGCCATGGGCACTCAGCTACCTGGGCCTTGGGGCTCCCCAAACTGCAGCTGTGTGCCCCATGGTGACATCCTAACCCCTCTGTACAGACAAAGATGCTGTGGCCTCGGTGCCTGTCTCAGAACGCTTCAGTCTAAACGATGTGCACTGATACCATGACAACACTGAGTGTTCACTTCTAGGCTCACAGTCTCCTTTGAGGCTACTTCAGAACCTTCGTCTGGGTGACATACGCTGGCCCAGCAGGATACAGATACGTGAGAGGTTCATGGAACCACATCCCCCATGTCAACAGAGCAGTTCTGCCTGCAGCCCTGGCCCCCAAGCAGGAGAAGGCCAGAAGGGGACAGGAAGGAGACGTTGTCATGGGGATGAAGAACAGCTTGACCTGGCCAGCAGCTCCGGGAAAATTCCACAGCACCCCCCTACTTCCCCCCAACATCCAGCTGCTGCCTCCTGCCCTCCCCTACCACAGCCACCTCCCTCCTCCCTCTCTTCCCAGAGACCTGGAGGTCCCTAGATCTTCTTTCGGTCCCCCTCAGTCAGCCCTTCATCCCCTCAACACCAACAGCCCAAGGCTACGCCAAGCCCACCCTCCGCCAGACCGGAAGCCTGGCCACGTGGCATATATGGGGCCAGCCAGATGCAGGCAACTTCAATACCAGCCCTTGACGGATGGGCCACCGCTTCTAGAGGCTACGCTTACTTTGGGATGATAAAAACGTTCAGCAATTAGCTGTTTCGATGTCTGCACAAGACAGCGATGCACAGAATGGCTGCACCCCATGACTGGGTTATTCTGTCAACACGGAGCTCTACGGACAGCGGATGTAGCTGGCTACCACGCACCTGGCTCCCAGCTCCCGGGAGACCACTCCCCGAAGGTGCAGCTCGCTCTCCGCAGCCACGATGGGCAGCCCGTTCTTCAGGTGGTAGTCTATGAGGTGGCTGATACTTTCAAACAACACGTCTTTCGTCCGCACCTGTTGGCAGAGACCTCAGCACCCATCCCTGAACATATCCCACAGGCCACGTCCGACCTGCTGGGTAGGAGCTTGTAGATGACTCCACCCCAGAACCAGCCTCAAGAATCCAGAACCACAGGCCCAGTGTGGTAAGGCACACCCATGATCCCAGGGCTCAGGGGAGCTGAGGTAGGAGGGTTTTGAGCTTAAGGACAGCCTCGTCGACTCTGTCTCCAAACAACAATAAAAAGCAGAAACGCTGAGCTTAGGAGACGTCTCAGCAAACTGCTTGCATTGAGAGCATGGGGACCTGTGTTGGACCATCAACTCCTATGTGAGAGCTGTGTGCACCTGTAACCCAGCACCGGAAGGGGAGCAACTGACGGATCCCTTGGGACTTGCTCACCAGCCAGGCTAGCTAAAGATCTGAGGTCCAGTGAGACCATGCCTCAAAAGATAGGTGAAGCTGTACGCCCTTAACCTAGCATTCAGGAGGTGAATGCTAACCTGGTCTTCAAGTTCCGGGACAGCCATTGCGACATAATGAGACCCTATCTTAAAAAAGAAAGGTAGAAAGCTACAGAGGAAGAGACTCTGGCTTCCACATGCATGCATGGTTTGGATTTTGGAGACAGGGTTTCTCTGTGTAGCCCTGGCTGTCCTGAACTCACTTTATATACCAGCTGGCCTCAAACTCACAGAGATCCAGCTGCCCTGCCTCCGAGTGCTGGGATTAAAGGTGTCTGCCACCATGTCCAGCTGCCCTGTCCTCTTCTAAGCTTTATCATTGGTGGTTGTATGCTTCAGGACCCCAGGAAACCAAATCACCCCTGAAATCACAAGAGGGACCAACTAGATAGTAAAATAAACTATGGCTTCCGTGGCGGAAGTGGGTCCAAGCCCCAGTCCTTCCTCACCGGGGTCCTAGAAAAAGCCTCTAAGTTACATAAGGTGGAAGGACTCCCGAAACCTCGAGTGCTTCAGAAGCAGGCATCTAGAGATTCTCACGGCATGAGGAACACCCGTGCCAGAGGAACAGGGAAAAAGAAGCCCACGTTCATCCACGTTCAAGAGGCAGTCAGCGGGTTAGAAAAATAGATAAGTAAGTAGATGGGGGGGCTGCAGAGGCGGCTCAGCAGTGAAGAGCACTGGCTACTCTGCAGAGGGCAGGGTTTCGATTCCCAGCACCCACACGGGGGTTCGAAACTATCTGTAACTCCAGGCTTCTGAGATCCTCTTCTGGCCTCTGAGGGTACTTACTGCACACAGAAGGTACACACCCAAACACATAAAAAGGACAGCCAGGGAATTTGACTCAAAAAGCGGGGGGGGGGGGGAACAACTGCTTCTGGAAAAGCCCTGACTTGATAACTTACTTAGAGATTCACATTAACACAGCCCAACTGCCACACTGCATTGTGGGGAGCAGGCACCCCACCCTGGGTAGGAACTCTGAGAGGCTTGGAGTTGGAAGAGGCTTCTGTGAGCCCCAAAATGCTTTACAAAGCAGAAATTCCTTTAAAATATTTTATTATTGTTTTGAGACAGTGTTCTCACCCTGAAGTTCCAGGCTGGTCTCAAACTTACAGCAATCCTCCTGCCTCAGCCTTCTAAGTGCTGAGATGACAGGCGTGACTCATCACACTTGGATTCAACATTCTTTTTTAACTTGGAAATATTTTTTTAATTCTCTAGAAGCGAATGAGAAGGGACCGACTCTTCCAAAGTAAGGAATCCATCATAAGCTGACCCCAACCCTGATGCCCAGAGCCCCTGCCCTCCCTTCTCCACCAAGTGCCAGCTTACCACGCCCTCAGGGTCCACCAGCAGCAGGTGCTTGGGCTGCCCCGCATGCATGCCTGTGAGGACATACTGTCCCGGGTTGGTGACGCTGTCTCTCACAAGGAAGTCCCCATCCGCACGAAGCAGCTTCTCCGCAGCCCGACGGCTCATGCGTCCATGATACCAGGGCTCCTGCCTCAGTTGCTCCTCTGTGGGTGCAATGGGGGCCCTGCGGGTAGGGGGGCTGGGCCACTGATCCTCCAAAGGGAGTGGAGCTGTAGTGAGGCCTGCCGCCACCGAGCACTCGTGCAACTTCAGGGCATCCTCAAAGGGTCCTGTGGGTCATTTTATTTTTCTATTGCTGGGACAGAACCCAGGCCCTCAGGCTTGCCAGGTAGATCCAGAGCCAGTACCTCAGCCCGTCACTGAGGGTGAGGGTCTCCACCCCTGACCACACTCCCAGCCCCTGTCTGGGGGATTCTAGGCAGGGTTCCATCCTGACCACGCCCTCCGCCTCTCCCTGAGGAATCCTAGGCACGGACTCCTTCCTGGCCACGCCCCCGGCCTTTCACTGGGGGATGTAGGCAGGTCTACCCTTTAGCCACGCCCCCAGTCCTGGTTTTACTTTTTGACAACAGTTCACCAAGTTGCCAAGGCTGGCCTTGAATTCTGTCTTCCTGCCTCGTTCTCTCTCTAAACTGGAATGACAGGTGTTCGGTGTAAGCCCGGCCTTGGGGCTTTCTAGACCCTACCTGGCACTGGGCACAGCCTCTGCAACCCAGCCTACTGCTGTCTGCGAGGTTTTCTGGTTCCACTCACTGTCAAAGCTGCTTTCAGGGGAAGCTGAGGCACACCAGCGCTCCTTCCCCCAGCACTGAGCTGGACGCCTGCACTCCCCCATTACAATGGCCTCTACCTCCATTGTAAACTACATCTTACGCCGTTAGCTGACCATTATTGGTAAAAGCAGCTTGCCTCACATCCCTACCTCTGTGGAGCTAGCACTGTCCTGAGTCAGGTGGCCGCTCCCAGCCTCAGGACCCTCCAAGGACAGGAAGGAGACAGAAAAGTGACACAAGTCGGCCCCCAAGTGCCTGGCACGGGGGGAGCCCCACCATCTCCCCTGCCAAGGACTAACTGGGAACCCACTTCCCCATGAAAGCCAGGCTGTCACTCAGGGATCAGCTGCCTGTGCACTGTTAGGAGCCAAGAGACCAGGCTCTTTGCCCATCACCACAGCACACAGCAGGCACTCAGTGGGTGCTGCCTCGTGTCACAGTGTTAAGAAGGAATTCGATGGCAGAGGTCTGGGAAAATGGCTCAAAAAAGTCCCTGTAATGCAAGCAAGAGGGGCCGAGTTTGACTCCCAGCACCCAGGTAAAAAGCTGGCACGAGGCTATGTCCTGGTAACTCCAACACTGAGGGAGTCGGGAAAGAAGATCCCTGGACCTCACTGGGCAGCTGGCCTAGCCTAGTTGGTAAATCCCAGGCCACTGAAAGACAGTAACTCAAAACAACACGGTTGGGAGGACTGAGCAACAATAGCCAAGGTTGTGTTCTGGCCTGTATCTGTGCACATACGAGCACACACACACACACACACACACACACACACACACACCAAAGAAGTGACAGTAATGAGAGATCAACTCTGCAAAGACCAGAGGAAGACATTTCTAGCCATCCGGAAGGTCCTGGGACAGCAGGACCCCACAGTGCTCGGGAGAGGAGGCGGAACTGACAGGAGAATATAGAAAAGTGTTTCAAACACTTCTGGAGGACAGATTGGCCTAGGCCACCAGAATGAGTTGGGGGGGGGGCACCACACCACAGCAGCTCTCCCTCATCAGGAGGAGGTTCCACAGCCAGTGACCCGCCCTCCAGGCTGGGGTTCCAGAGGGAAAGGTGGACCAGCTCTCCCACGCCCACACGACACCCGAGCTGACGTTAAGACAAGCTGAGATCTCCTAGCCAGCAAGGTGGAAACTGACAGGCCCCACTGACCAGGTCAGTGCTCTCTCTCTCCCCTCAGACTGTGAGTCTGTGGTCAGAGGCTGCACTTCTCACAGAAGGGGCCCAGGCCCACCCATCAGACTAGCTTAGGCTTTGCACAGAAAGTCTGTCCTAGCCGACTGAGGTTTGCAGCCTGGGACCTTCTACCCTTCGGATTCCCAAGGCCCTCCCCATGCAATCCCAGGTCGGATGGAGACGGGCACGCACGCATGTCAAACAGGTCCTTCTTGGGGCTGTCCTCCAGTGGGAGAGGTGCCTCACAGGTGTCCTCAGGCTCCATGGCGTCCAGGCCCTGGGTGTTGACGTAGAGGTGCTCCTCATAGTCATGTGGCCCTCGGGCATCCGCCTGCACGTAGCCGTCCCCGGGCAGGGCTGGAAAGGGTAGAGGGTGGCAGGTCAGGCAGAAATCCAGAGGACTTAGGGAGGGGATCGAGGACAGTGTGTCAAACAAGGCTCAGGGGGTGGCAGGAGGGGGCAGGGATGCCACCTTTGTCCTCCACGAGACTCACACCGACAGCTTCTTGCAGGAGTAAAGAGCCATGCCATGCTCCAGCTGGGGACAGAGGATGGCCACGTGTGCAAACGTGGGCCAGAGCCCAGACTGGCACAGGAGGGCAGTTCTCTGGCCAAGAAAGGAAGTTCCAGTGTCACTAGCCACTAATATGCCTTCCTTGTCGGGTACAGAGCAGCAGACACAGTCTCTTGGGAGGGCAATGCCTCCTGGAGTTTAGAACTCTGAGAGGCTGCACTGACTTCGGCCCGTGAGGCAATGAAGATGGTAAGGTCAGGGCAGAGCCCGAGGCACGCAGACTGCAGGGCACAGTTACCCAGATAGGGGGCGCCAGACCCTGTGAGGCCAGCACAACCTACCTGCTCCAGAGGGACCCGTGTCCCAAGGCAAGGCCCGGGCATCTCTCTGTGCAGGCGACATTCCCTGCGAGACAGATGTGATGACCCGGCTATGTGCCAGGCCCGCTTTCCACCCAGCACCCGGCTCCCCACCCACCCCAGTGGCAGTTCCAAACCCCTTCTGGCCCCACAGGATAGTGGAGGCTGACCTGTCCGAGGCCCCCAAGTGTCGCCAGTGCACAGGGCTGTGTGACAGCCAGTCTGGAGTCCACCAGCCCACCCAGGGGTGGCTCCTTCCCTGGAATGCTGTTGTAGTAATTGTGGTCCGCAGCCTCATCGTCACCCCAGGCTGACTCCTCCAGCCCTGTCAGCCTGGGGGCACAGGGCAAGGTGAGGGCACTTGGCCCTCCGATCCCAACCCTCCACTTCCATCATCAGCCACGCCTTCCCCAGGGAACACTGGTGACAGGAACCACGATCTATGAGACGGGAGGTGGTGCCCTGTCCAGGAGATTGGCACAAACACCAACAGTTGCTTGTACTAGGCCCAATGTCAGAAAGCAGCAGGCAGCACCCCAGATGTAAGACGCCCCAACTTCATCTGCTATCAGAGGCGGGGGGGGTTCATCCCTCAAGAGCACAAGGGGACTGCCACCTACCAGCCCTCAGTCTAAATGAAATAAATGAAGATAGAAACACACAAGGGACTCTGGGCAAAAGAAGGCAGAGGCAGCCTGTTTCTGGAGTGCCAAGCTAGCAGCCTGACCCAGGAAACCTAGGGTCTCTTTACCTTTCAGGGGGCACTACGGCCTTGGGGGGACTGTGCAGGTATTGCTTGAAGCGCAGCTCGAAGGCTTGGCCCACAGTGCTGATGACACTCTGGGCAAGACCGTCACAGCATTCCAGGATGTGGCAGGCTGGGGAGGTCACAGTGTCAGTGTGGCCCTCCAGCACAGCCCTGTCCAGGCCCCGGGCCCTGAGCTCCCACTCAGCTCACCTCTCTGGTTGATGGGGTCCTTGGCCACATAGGCTACATAATCAGTCATGTCCTAGAGAAGTGGACAGGATTCAGCTCCCCAGACGGCAGAGGGCCCAGCAGGTAGGGTCTGGGAAGGCTGCAGGGACATCCCATCTTACCGTGTCACCACCCGAAGCAAAGGAAATGGACTGCATATGATGGCTGGCAATGACCTGTGAGGACAGAAAGTCAGAGGTGGTCACTGAGAGCCCTGGCAGGTGAACCACAGCCACGGGAGAGATGGACATGGGAAGGGAGGTGTGTCCCTCTCTCTGACTGTGGTCTGTCTAACATGGCTAAGGTCTGAGAGTCCCACCTGGATTTTGAGCCCCTATGAGGACTGGACAGGAAGGCCAGGTCTTGGGGTCACATGACTGTGTACCCACCTAACTGTAGACATGGCAACACCCCCACACATATATACACAGACACTCCAAGCGGCCTATCCCAGGCTCAGGCTTCCTCATACAGACCAGTTCTGTGTTCACTTGCAATATTTACATGGCCCTACCCCATCTGTTGCCTGTCACCCAAGTCCCTGAAGTTGTACAGAACTGAAACATTCCCTCCTACAGGGAGGAGGAGAGAGGGAGGAATGGGAAGGGGAGAGGGGGGAAAGACTGGGGAGGAGGGAAGAGTGCGGAGGAGAGAGAAGGTGTGGGAGGGAGGAGGGAGGTGTGGGGAGAAAGGAAGAGTGGGGAGGAGGGAGGAATGAGGAGGAGTAGGGAGAAAAGAAACTCCTACGGCTCAAAATAACAAAGCTCAAGGAACTGAACTGGGGCCTTGGTGACCACACCTTCCCCGGGAGCCTCCCTCGATTAGCCTTCAGCAGGACCCTGGGCTCGGGATGAGATAAGCAAGCAATGTGCCTCCCAGCAGCTGGGAAGCTTGAGCCTCAGACTGAGGGCTCTGCTCCAGGCTCTATGTCAAGAGCGGCCTCCCTTCTCCACTGATACCAGCAGCAACACCTATGGGAGCCCCAGTCTTTGTGGGGGACAGGCTCCCCTACCCCGCACCACTAACTATCTGGATTCTGGAGCTGCAGAGAGACACACTCCCATCTTGGATGCTTGAAAAAGAATCCTCATGCCCAGGGCTACCCAACACGACCAACTGAGCCCCAAACCACAGGCATGTTTCTGTGGCACCTGCCACATCTGACGTGAGGTTAGACTTGTCTTGTGTCTGATGGGAGATGGCACGGGTGGCCCTACATAACCTCCTGAACTATATAGCATGTGCCTACGCCAGCACCTCCAGGAGGGCCAGAGACACGTAGACTGAAGGACCCCTGACTTCCGGACTGCGGCTGGGGCTGCTATTTATAGCTGCAGCCTGTTATAAACCTTCCAGCTCAGACTTCCCTGTATCTCAGATCAACCAGAGCAAAGAATTCACGGCCACAGATGAGGAGCCCAGGAGTGCCCGAGGTCAGGGGTTAAAGTTAGGGGTTCATCTTGGTTGTAATTGGGTTAGTGTTAGAAACAGGGTAAAAGCCAAGCATGGTGGCCTACAGCTTTAAATCCTAGCAAGGCAAATGGATCTCTATGAGTTCCAGGCCAGGCAGGGCTACATGATGAGACTTTGCCTCCAAAGGAGTGGGGCTGGGGTGAGCTGGAGTTAAGAGTTAGAGTAAGGGGGCTGGAGAGATGGCTCAGAGCACGTCTGCTCTTCCAGAGGTCCTGAGTTCAGTTCTCAGCAACCACATGGTGGCTCACAACCATCTATACTGGGAACTGATGCCCTCTTCTGGCGTGCAAGTGTACATACAGATAGAGCACTCATACACATAAAAGAAAAAAAAAAAGAGTTAGAGTCACCAGAATTAAGCTGGGCTTGGGGTAAGGGCTGTTGTTGGGGTCACAGTCTTCCTGCAGCCAGCTCAGCTGTCTGCTCCCCACTGTGAGCTCCTCAGCAGGGTCTGCCTACTTGGCCTCTCAGATCTGTCCTTATTGTAGTCATGAGATCTGGCCATGGCCCCTCTTGCCAGGAAGACTGCACAGCTGGCCCTGGCACAGCCTCCTTAGTTCTCAGCAGAGACTACAATGCCACTGCCACTACTCTAGGGACAGACCCCAAACTCCTCCCCCAGGTTCATGCTGTCTCTCCTCGGGGGGCCAGCCTTGAATTCTTCTCCTCTCCATATCCAGGGGGAGCCCACTTCCGGGAGTGCAGTGTGCTGAGGATAGACTCTAAGCCGCCCACCCCAGCCCAGGAACCCTTCTGGACAACTGTGGACAGATCTGCCCTAGCAATGGCATGGCCCTGCATACAGACCCCGGCTACCGGGGACTCCGCGCCCCTGCGTCCTGCCGCCACCTCAGCGGGCACCAGATATTTCTGGACAGCTTGAGGATTCTGCAGATCACAGGAGAGGCCTGCCGGGTGGGTGTGGCCGAGGGCTTTGAGGCTGGGCAGGGCTGAGGGTGGGTGAAGGGTTTGTGGATAGGTGCACCTGAGGACACAGCCCAGGGTTGGTTCACCAGTGGGTGGGGCTGAGGATGGATCTAGATATAGGGACTGAAGTGTAGGACTGAAGCTGGACGCACACCTTTGACCCCGGCACTCAGGAGGCAGAGGCAGGCGGATCTCAGAGTGAGATCCCGCACACGCAGGGCTGCACAGAGACCCCGTCTCAAAGTACAGGTCTTAGAAGCTCAAGCTGTGCAGTGGGCATAAAGGATTGTGGGGCTGTGGGCGGAGCCGAGGGTGGGGCCAAGACCAGGATGTGGGCAGGGTAGAAGATTGGCAGGGTTATGGGTTGGGAAAAGGTGGGGTTGTGGGTGAGGGTAGTAGAGCTACCGCAGGGTGGCGTGCGGGGCGGAGGGCAGCGGTTCCCACCTGGCGGGTTGCAGGAACAGACAGGTTGAGGCCATCCACGGAGATGTTGACTGAGATGCTCATGCCGGCGAAGCGCAGGTTGCTTTTCCCCAAGATGGAGGCCAGCGCCTTATTGGGGGCCTGGGAGGGTACAGTGAGCCGCCCTCGTCAGACGCCTGGGACCAGAAGGGCTCTGGGTGGCCACAGTGTTCCCTTCAGCCTCCCAAGGCACACACCAGCTCTACAGGACCACAACCCACCTACCTTCTTCTTCCAGGAGCCACGGACCCCTGGCACGGCCTCATGGAGCCGGTTGATGGCTTCCCTGTGGGAGAATGAGACCCTACTTAGAAACAGCAGGGCAAGGGCTAAGAGGAAAGCTACGGATGCTAGGCATGATTATCTCTTTGCTCAGGAGGCAGAGGCAGGAAGATCATGAGTTCAAAGCTAGCCTGAGATACACAGCAAGTCAGAGGCCAGCCTAGGCTTCAAGATGCAAAGAGCTGATGCAAAGGGCTGTGGACAGAGATAGGACACAGGGCTGATAGGGAGTGAACAGTCCTGAGTACTCAGTGTCTAACATGGGTGAATGGACATACAACATGGCCCAACCACCCACTCAGCCCTGAACAGGCACAAGGGTCTAGCACACACCACAGCATGGACAGACCCTAAAGACACTGCTAATCAGTGAGACATTGTGGTAGGTGTTAATTGTCAAGTTGACAAAAGTCTAGAATGACCTAGGGGGTGGGCCTCAGAGAATGTCTGTGTGGAGTCATCTTGATGTGTTGAGGTGAGGAGGTCTGTCCACTGTGGGTGGCACTATCCCCTAGGCTGAGGATCCTGGACTGTGTAAAAGTGGACAAAGCAAACTGAGCAAAAGCATGCGTGCCCATTATTATGAATATGATCCCACAAGCAGATTTAATTTTATTATTTATTATATACTTATTATAAGCAGATTCCTCGAGCTTCTGCCATTGTGACTTCTCTATGACGCACTGAATGAGCTGAATAAACTCTGTCTCCCTTGAATTGCTTTTGTCAGGGTTTTAGCACAGTGGCACAATGAGTGACTAAGACAGAGACATAACGCCGCAGTGTAGGACCGCATGCTAAGAAATGCCCAGAGACAGGAAGTGGGTTTGCCGTGCTGGCTGGGCTACAGTACATAATGCTCATGAGAACAGCGCTTCTTTTTAGGGTGTTGGAATGTTCTGGACATAGACAGATCAGGTGGCTATAAAACACTATGCAGAGATACGATACAGCAAAGAACTGCAGTGGACAGATGGGACTCTAAATCAATTGCTTTTGTTTGTTTCTTGGGACAGTCTCATTTGATAGCCTAGGCTGGCCTGGTCATGGCAAACCTCCTGCATCTGTCTCCCAGGTGCTGGAATTCCAGGTGTGAGACAATATACCTGGCTTTGTGCACTGGTTTTTAGGTCCCCAGCAAATGGAGTAAATGAAACCCTTCCTATCAGCCTCCTGAAATCCCAGCCCACAGGTATGATAGGGCAGGCTACAGGAAACCCAAGTCTGGGGAGTGTCCATCACACCCATGTACAATAATGAGCCCAGACACAGTCCTTAAGTACGGCCATGCTGGGCCCAGTCCACCGCCTGTCTTTAGGTGCCTGGCAGGTCACCTCCAACCCACCATGCCACCCCCAAGAGGCCCCTGGTGGATGGGCCAACTGAGACCTGGGCTCCCTGCCCCATGCCAAGGCCTCACCTCGTCACCTGTGTCCGGGTGTTGAAGTCCAGCGAGCGCATGGATCGGAGCACCTCAATGCAGCCCATGTACTGGGGAGAGAGGGTGGCCAATCAGCAGGTGGCATCCAGCCAGGGAACTGGTTCCCTGCAGACACCTCCACTTTCTCTCCAGGTATTCAGGGCTGCTCTCCCTCCCTGACAGCTACAGCCACTGTCCCAGGACCTTTGTGTCTGATGTCTTGGATGCGCCCTCCCTGACCTAGCACTGAGCCCCACCCAGGCCCAATCCCAAGGCTCAGTTTCAATGTCCAGGCTCTGATGTTGCATTGTGGCATGCATGATCACTGAGTCCAGTCACCACCCACATGGCTGGCAGACAAACCAGACAGGGACCATCTGGCCGGCAAAGATGCAAACACCAGCCATCGCCTTCCATAGACCATAAGGCAGAGCTATAGTTCTGTTAGTAGAACACTCGCCCAGCATGTATTGGGTCCTGGGTTGCATCCCATAAATCCTGTGTAGCCATCTGAGCACCCGGATGAAGGAGGAGGCAGTAAGATAGATTAGGACTTGAAGGTCGCCTTCCGCTACATAGGCAGTCTGAGGCCAATTAGGGTACAGAGATTCTGTCTCAGAAGAAAAAGAAACTCTGTAGACTAGACAAACATCTCCATAGAAAGGGACACACAGAGGAACGCAGAGGAAAGAGCAAAGTGGAACCTTCAGCTTGTCTACCACCTAGCTTCCAACTGGAAGGGAGAGCGGCAAGGGGGTGCACACCTATCATCCTAGCACTCATGACAGAAGGGAAGAGTCTAGCTTGAAGAGGAAGTGACCAGAAATGACTGCCCATCTTGGCATCAGGAGGGTTACGGTGCAGCCCCCATCTGCAGGCTGGGGGGGGCGGGGGTATGTGCACTGAGGCTTCCAGGAACCAGATGCCCTGGGCCTGGAGTCACAGGCAGTCAGGAGCCAACATGCCTCGGGAGCTGGGACCCAAGTGCAGGTTCCTCTGCAAGAGCAGGAAGGGCTCTTGTTGACAGAGGCATCTCCCCAGCCTGCTACTGATGTGCGTTTCTTTCATTCCTTTATTTTGGAGTCCTGCTTGTGGCAGAGGCAAACTAGCCCCGAACTCCTGAGCTTGAGAGGATCTGCAGCGTCCCCATCCCCCAAGTGCGCACCACCACGCCCAGCTTATTTTGTAATTTCATGTTATTTATTTACTTAGGTTGTCTGGGAGACAGGGACTCCTGTAGCCCTCGACGGCCCGGAATCACCATCTAACCAGGTATGACCTTACCCTCTTAATCTTCTGGTTTCCACCTTCCAAGTGCTGGTATTGCAGCCCAGTGCCACCATGACCAGCTCCAGTTAAAACACAACAAAAAGATCAGTGTCTATCTGTTTTCAGCCTGTGGCTCCATTTCTAGAATTTTACTCCACAGCCCACCAGCCCTGGGCCATGAGAGGAGGTTCCCTGTGGGTGAGAAAAGGAGCCCAGCAGAGGCACCAACTGTTCCACCCCCTCCCACAGGGCTCTGCCCTCCTCTTTCAGCTACTGCCTCAGTTTCTCCTAAGGGGGTACCGGCCCTGATGGTGCTGGAACAGGTCCCCCTACTCCCAGCAGGAATGAGTACCGCTGTCACAGGGGGCAGGGCACCCCTTGTCGGCTGAATTCACTAAAACCGAATGAATAGCTCTGCAGCCCGAAAAGACGGCCTCGTGCGGGACACGTGGAATGCTAGCATGAGCCGGTGCTCTCTGGAAGTTTCATTTCACCAGCTGCCCTCCACTTTAGAGAAGCTGAGCAAAGGAGGCACGTGGGAGAAATCGGCCCGCAGTTGTAAAGAGACAAGTTATTTTTACGAACTTATATGAAGTGATTTCCAAATGCTGCCGGGTGATGTGTGGGAGGAGGGAGTCACCATGAGAACACCGACATGACTTGGCGTGAAGGAAGGCGTGGTGCACGCTCGCACACAGCTTGCATTTGCGGGAACTCGGACTCAGCTTCCAGCCACAGGGTCGGAATGCCACTGGAGTTCTAAAGTGACAACACAGCACCCCTCATAGACCATGTGATGACTGCCAATACGATCAAGCAAAGGAACAGGATCTCAGGAGCACAGGGACCTCGGGAGCCTCCCTGGCAGTTACCTAAGCTGACATGACTGTCCAGGGTGCAAGGCCAGGAGCTGGATGGAGCAGAAGTGGAGGCCGGAGTGTGGCTGGAAGAGGCAAAAGGACGAAGGCTAGGAAGTCAGGGCCATGGACCCTGCTTAGGACCCTGCCATCGTGGTGTTCCAGGGTTCAGTCACTCTGAGGGGAAGAGGTGCGGGGAGCCACAGACTCAAGTGAGCTGAGTGCAGCTGGAGGGTGGCTGGATGGTTAGCAGAGGGAGGAGTGGGTACGTGAGAGGGTGGGTGGGCGGCACAGGGATGAAGATATGGATGATCGTCAGGCGGCTGGATGGGTGATGACTGAGGAACAGCCTGTCAGCTCATGGGCAGAGAAGGGTAACAGATGAATAAGCCAATGTGAACTTTATCTGTCATGTGACACCTCATGGCACACCACTGAACGTCATCAGCCAGGTCCCCTGTTTTGAAAGAATTCTGTTGCAGCCCAGAGGGGCAGGACAGCTGGCACACACCGTCAACCCCAGCACTTCGAGGCCAGAAGTCTACAGAGTGAGCTCCAGGACAGCCAGGGCTACACAGAGAAACCCTGTCTCAAAAATAAATAAATAAATAAATAAATAAATAAATAAATAAATAAATAAATAAATAAGAATTTAAAAAGGCCCAATTGCTCCCACATCCCTCATCCCTCACCCATCAGTCCATGACACTGTCCCATTGAGACATGCTAAGGGAACTTCGAGCCAAACCCGACTCATCAGAGTTTGAAAGGAGTTCCTCCACCATGAGTGGCAGGGGACAGATGAGGAGCCTGACGCCCTGGAAAGAAAGGGGTCTTGCCTCCTTCCTGAGGAGCTGGGTGCAAGTGCCTGGCGCTGTGGCTGCAGCTCTGTGATATCCCACAATCCCCTGAACAGTGCTTCAGGGGCCTAGGGAGCTGGTGGCTCAGTGGGTAAAGTGCTTGCCATGCAAGCATGAGGGCCTGAGTTCAGAAACCCAGCACCCACGTAAAAAGTGGGGCGCACTGATGATCCCACTGTCGGAGACGCAGAGCATAACTAAAGCATGCTTGCTAACCGGCCTAGCCCAACTGGTGAGCTACCAGCCAGTGAGAGTACGTGCGCACACACACACACACACACACGTACGCGCGCGTGCGCGCACACACACACACACGAGGTGCTACTCAGATGGATGAAGCAAGCAACCATATCAGGTCACCGTCAGCTGCCATGCCTCAGGACACAAATGTGCAAGGGCCGAGTCAGTGCTGTTCTGGAGCCACTTGGCCCGTTCTGGCTGGTCAGTCAGGAAAAGCACCACGAACGTGGCCCACAGGAAGGGAAGCCCTTTCTCCAGGACCACAGTCACCAGCACAAAAGCTAGCCGAGGACAGCCCAAACCCGGAGGACAAAGAGTAGGTCTCCAGGGACACTAGGACAATTCCCACAAGGATAGGACATAGAACACCAGGAGTGCTCCCATCCGCATTCTAGAGGCCAGAGGCCAGGGCCCAGGTCTGCTGGAGCTGAGCTGCCTCAGGAAGCCCCCCTCCCCCAGGGCTCTCTCCTACCCCTCCCAGGCATCTGTGTGGTCCTCTGAGCCCTTCTGGCTTCTGGCTACAACACTCACTCTGTGGGAACTGTCACAGCCTCCTTCCCCATGTCTTCCCATGGTATTTCTAAGGACAGCAGTCCCCAGATTTGGACATTAGCTTCCAGGCCAGCTCCACTGACTGCATCTGCTGAGAGGCTGTGCCCAAGTTCGGCTACGTTCTGGAGTACCAGGTGGGCATGAATGTGGAGGGACACCTCTCACCCCTGCCCAAACGTCCACAAGCTGGGTGCATGACGAAGCTGCTGGGTTAGCCAAGTCAAGCCACCCATCCAGGGCCTCTGGCTTCTGACACCCTCCTCCGGGTTTCTACTGCTGAACCAGGCTGGCAGGGACCAGCATACTGGCAGTGACCAGCATACTGGCATGACAAGTGCTCTGGTGTCCCCAGAAAACATTCCGGTGTGGTGACACTGGTCTGAAGATACACCTAGGTAGTGGGGTTTAGCCCGAGTTCATCTGTAGGGTCCCTTCTGCCACATGCTTGTGGACATGAGGACCCAATGTTGGGGGTCATTAGGAACCCCAGAAACCTGAGAGAGCACAGGATGGGTGCTGGACCTCTGCTCCAGACCTTGCAAAACACAAAGCAACCTCAGCCCCAATCCTATGTGCCTCAGTTTCCCTATTTGTAAGCAAAGATGGTGCATACTCTTTCAGGGGCAAGAGTCTGCTTATACTGATCCTTGGGGTCATCACCCTGTGTGACCTAGCTGCTCCTTGCTTTGACCTTCCCCAATTCCAACCAGGAAGCCAGCCCAGCTCCCCATACTCACATTGTTAAAGCTCAAGCCTGGGGAGCAGGCAGGTGCCTCAGCTACTTCACGCAGACCCCTTCAGCCCTTTTCTAACATGAACACCGAACACCACTCTGCCTAACAGCTGGTCACCCAAGTCCACACCCCTGTCAACTCTCCTCACACCGCCCAGGTCCCCTGGAACCCCTGCCGCCCCCTTTGTGCCCCACGATGCTGCCCCGACAATGCTCCTGAAAAGACCCTTTGGAAACCCCAAGCTCCATCTCACACAATGTAGGCCTTCCACCCTAGGCTTCCCACTGTTGCTAGCAAGTCCCAGATTTGTTCCCTGCCACAGGCCCTTTGTACCAGCTGTGTCCTGCCAGAAACGTTTCCCCTGCTGTTTTCTGACAGGAGTTTCCACAATTTCAGGTCTCACCACTCAAGAGACATCTTCCAAACCACTAGGACTGAAGTAACTACGCCGCCCACTGAGGCGCCACTATTTAACCTTCCCTGCTTCATGTGCTCCTGCGTCTGTCCATGGGCTGTCTTCCTGTATAACGGTTGTCTGTCTTGAAGCGTCAGGCAGGAACCAGAGATTTCCCCTGTCCTCCACAAGGCCGGCACTCCACAATAGCTGGTCCGAACACTACACTGCTTACACCTCAACATCAGGAGCCACAATGACAGTATCAAAAATCTCAACATGTATCCATCAGACAGGACAGGGATCCGGAGGGACCTGTGGGTGTGCCACAGCCACTGTGCCATCAGTGGTGCGCTCTTACACACAATAGAACTATCAGGACACAGGGGAAAGGAGACATAAGCCAGATCCAGAACGTGAGTTCCAACTCTATGGAGGACCCCCAGACCCTGCATGTGCATGGGCGAAAAAGCTAGAGGGGACTCTAACAGGGCCAGAGCCACAGCCCAGGCGGTCAATGGCCCAGGGACTCAGTTCAAGGCCGAGGCACGGGAGGGTTATCAGTTATCCAGGCTACTGCAACAAGACAGACAGAGCACAATAGGAGTCCCTTAGCACGCCTCCCTGAGGATAGTCTATGCAGACTCTCCCTCTGAGGCTCCACGGAGGGTCCCCTTCCTCTTCCAGTGTCTGGGGCCTCTCCAGCAGCCCTTGGCATGTTCTAGCCTCTCCCTCTTCTCTTAGCGGTTCTGTTTTGTCTTGTGACAGGGTCTCACATAGCCCGGGCCAGCCTCAAACCTTAGCCATAAATAACCTTTGATTCTTGATCCCCCTGCCTCCACCTCCCCAGGACTGGGATGTCAGGTATGTGCCACCACGTACCTGACCCCACTTGTAATCTTGGCTTGGCTTTTATAAGTCTGCTCCAGTACAACCTCACCTGAATTCATTACACCTACAACAAACCTACTTCCTTTTTTTGTTTATTTTTGTCTTTCTTTTTTGTGTGTTTGGTTGTTAACAGACAGATCTGGAATTTGCCATGTAGATCAGGCAGATCAGGCTGCCCTCAAACCCATACAGACTGCCCATCCTCGGCTTCCCAAGATTGAAGGAGTGCACCACCATGCCCATCTTCTTTTTCCTTTGAGACGGAGCTAGCTACGCAGCCCAGGCTGGCCTAAACTCTTGGCGATCCTCCTGCTTCTGCATCCTGAATGCTAGAACTACAGGTGTGTTCCGCTGAACTCACTTCCAAATAAGGTCCTATTTGTAGATGCCTAAGGTAAAGAATATTGCAGGACTGAACCCAGCCCAGGAAAGGGGAAGTGACATGGTAGACACAAACACCCTCTCAGCATCCTGATCCGGGGCATCCAGCAAAGAGCATGCTGGGATCACTTATCATCGAGTAAACTGTAGAGGGCATTCCACCAGACTAGGGTGGCTAAGGCGAGCACTGAACACCAGCTTACTTTCAAGCGACGGATCAAACTGCATGTACAGGGGTAGACGCCTGGAGCAGAAAAGATAAAATGTCCCGGGTGACAGGTGGCCACGTGGGAGACCATCCCCCACACCCTATCCTTTGGAATGGTCACAATAAAAACCTGGGTGGGGGCTGGTGCTGGTGCTCAGTGGATAGGGCTCCGTCCCCGTTATTACACAGGCAGGGTGTGGTGATGCATTTACTGTCACCCCAGCACCCCAGTAAAGTGGAGGCAGAGAGATCAGAAGTTCAAGGTCATCCCTCAGCTACACAGTGACTTCCAGGCAAGCCAGAGCCACAAGAGACCCTGTTTCAAGATCAAAACAAAGAATAAAGGTCCAGGAGTGGTGGCACAGATCTAACATCCCAATATTTAGGGAGGTTGATGAAACTGAGTAATGGCCCGCAGCTGGACACGGATGTCCTCTCCCCAGTTCCCAATCCTCTCCCACCCCAGTCAAATAAAAGGAATAAACATAGCCAGGCCCCTTCGCTTCATCCACTCCCGTGTGGAATCTGGAACCCTGAGCCCTGAGCTTGGGTTCCCGGCCTCATCCAAGGTCTTTATGGGTCCCTACTATATCGCGGCAAAGTTGCCTTCTCCAGAGGCTAGGTAGGGGTCCTTGGCTTCACAGTCCTCGCCTTGTGTACTCTCCCACTCAACAGCGGTGTGTGGGGGGGGACGGGGATTAACCTGCGCATGCGTGTGTCCCCTCCCCACCTGCGCCCTCTCTCCGCCCCTCCCTACGTGACGCCGTGGGAACCCGGACCCCAGCGCCTGCGGGTGGGGGCGCGCGCACTGGAGGCGGGGTTCCTGGGTGATGGGGAGAGCTCTCTTGGCTCTCGGGGTCCAGGAGACCAAACTAGAGGTGGGGGCGATCCCCGACCCCGGCGCGCTGGGAAGGAGGCTGGGCGCACTCACCCGAACGATGTAGGAGACCCCGGGCCCCAGGACTCTGGCGTCGGGGTGCAGCCAGCCGTGAGCCGGCTTGTGGATGAAGCCGCCCTTGCGCGCCCACTCGTCGGCGACGTCGGGAGTCCCCCGCGCGCCCCGCGTCCCCGAGCCGCGGCAGCGGCCGAGCGCGGGCAGAGGACAGGGCGCGGCGCAGCGCGGTTCACAGGCGCCCAGCACGGCGGCCAGCGCTGGGACCCCCGGCTCGGGCTGCGCCTCTGCCGGCCCCGCCGCGCGCGCAGCCGCTGGGCCGCGGCCGAGGAAGCCACCGGGCGCTGCGAACTTCCACTGCGGCATGCGCGGCAGCAGCGCGCAGAAAGTGGTGGGCGCCTCGGGCTCGGGGGCCGCGCGGCCACCCGGACCCTGCGTCATGGCCGCGGCCGCGGAGGAGCCCCGGCTGAGCCTGGCGCGGAGCCGCGCGCTCCTCCCCGCCGGGTGATGTCACCGTTCCGCGCAGCGCGCAGCCGCGGGGGGCTGCGCTCCTGGGACCCCGGCCCTCCGCTGGCTGCGCCCGCACCGGACCCCCGCACGGCCTGCCAGGGCTTCCGGAGGGGCTGTCCAGGCTCTGACCTGTGGGGAAACTGAGGCCAGGGATTGCAGACGCGGGACGGGTGGCAATCCTTCAACCTCCAAGTATCTTCTTCGCTCCCGCTCTAGCATCACCAATCTTGACGTTCTTTCCTTCTAAAGAAAGTTCTGAGGTCGCAGGTTCAGGGAGTGATCCTCCAACCCTGAGGTCCCACCGTTCCAGCAACATCCTGCCCTTCTTTACTTCTAAATTGGGAAACTGAGGCGTGGCTTTGTAGAGGCAGGACGAGACAGCCCCTAAGTCCCCCTCTAAGCCACTGTTCCAGCCAGACCGTGTTTGCTTTACAGAATAGGGAAGCTGAAGCAGGGGCAGGGCGATAGCACAGCAGGGAACGCGAGGGCTAGGGTAGGGATAAGGCACAATTGGGGACCTGAGGTCTCGGGTGGTGAAGGCAGGATGAGCCAGTCCCGGTCCTCGACACTGTTCGAGTCACTGCCCAACTTTACTTCTAAATGAGGTCTAAATGGGGCCTGGGGCAGGGCAGAGGTTGGGGTCTATGACTAGAAGACCTCAAACTCAGAAGGGTCCCCCCCAAGTCCCCTCCATAGGACCTTGCCCTACTTTACTGTTTAGTGGGGAAACTGAGGCCTGGAGCAGGGCCGAGGATTAAAGGAAAAGTGAGGCCTGGAAGTGAAGCGAGTCCCCAGGACCCCGCGGGTGGGGCTTCCTCTGGAGGAGTGTGAAAGGAGTGAGAGCCGCTCCTGCTGGCTCCTGGCCTGTTTGCCAGGCTGTAAGCCCAGGGCACCCATCGGATCCTAGGGTTCCGATAAGAAGCCGAGGATCAGACCTCTCGGGCCTGCTACCACTCCCATCCCAGGCTCGACGACCTCTGAGATGCCTTTCTAAGGCCCCAAGGGGGTTCCTTCTAGGAGGGAAGGTAGTTGTCATCACCCTGCCTCTGTCCCTCACCCTACCCTGGACAGTCCTGCCGGGGAAACAAAGAGAAGAGAGCTGGGCGGGGCAGGGTGCGGAGGAGGGGCAGGGCCAGCAAGATCGATGGAGAGAGAAACTAGATCCCTGCCTGCGAAGGGGGAGGGGGCGGGGCAGTGCGCGCGCCGGGGACGCTCAGCTCAGCAACCTCACCCCGGGCACACGAAGGAGCTGGCTGGGCTGACGGCTGGGAAGAGGCTGTGTGAGTGAGGACCACAGCACTTCAGGTCTGGCTGCACAGTCGTCGCGTGTTCTCTCATCTGAATGGGGAGCTTGCGGGGCTGGCTCTACTCTAATCTGCAGTGCAAAAAGCAGTCAATAATCCCGTGACACTTTAAACTCCTGCGTCTTTCAAAGCCCAGCTTCGCGGTACCCCTCCTCAAAAACCTAACTGGTCCCACAACCTAAACCCAGGCTCTGTCTCTGACCTCTTGCTGTCAGGGCCCCCATCTGCCCCTCTGAACTGAGTGAGGTTTGCCGAGTCGCTTACTGTTCTTTGTAGTGTGACTAGACGTGCTAAATAAACCAATGCGCACAACGCTGACAGCTGTTGACGGGGATCGTTTATTGGCAAGCAACGCTAGAGGGTGGGGTGAGAAGGGCCGAGCATCAGGGCCGCCTCCAGGAGAGTTCTCCAGACTCATCTGCAGAAACCCAAGTGGCCCGGACGCTGAATTCTAGGACACACAGCTCCCTGTCCAGCCAGGGAAAGGGACACTTCTCCCTGGCCTGGCCTGACCTGGGAAGAGAGGCTGGGGCCCTGGAAGGAGGCTCACCCTCATCCTGTATGGGACCTTGGGTCACAGGCCCCAGGGACAGAAAGATCAGGTGGCCTCAAAGGACCTCAGACTGCAGAAGGGGAGGGAGGCACCTTCTCTGCCCCACTCTGGGGAAAGCCGCTGCCTGCTCTCTGCAGTCATCAGCATTTGGTGTTTCCTGACATGACGGATGCCCGCTTTGAGTGACGGATGCCCATGGTGTATGCCGGGGCCCGGGCCCGGTTCACAGTGACCTGTTCTGGGTTGTGGGTACCAGGACCAGGCGTCTCCTCCAGGGGCCTTGGGGTTCGGGGTCTCCCCAGTATGCTGAAGGCCGGCAAACGCTGCCGGTAGGTGTTGGGGTCGGGACTCTCATACTGCCCAGGGCCTGGAGTCTCCGAGGGATCCTGAGGGGGCCGTGCCAGGGGCGTGCGGCCCGCAACTGTGTAGCTGGGGCTGCTACGTTTAATAAAGACCTGTGATCCCCAGAGAGGTGGCATGGTGTAGGCATTGGGGGCAGGAGCAGAAGTGTCTGGAGGCTTCGGTCGGAGACGGGAGCCCAGGGTGAAAGCTGGGGCATTCCGCTGGCGTACTGGAGGTACCTTCTCTGGGCTGTAGGTCCCAGGGCCTGGTGTCACCTCTAGACCTGAAGAGTGAATGGGCAGATACACAAGGAGGCCATACCTGACAGAAGATCTGTACCAGAGGTCACGCAGACCCAGGCTCTTACCCCATTCTTCACGCATGCATTCCCATGCTCAAGCCCTAACCAGCAAAGACTCCCACCCACCTCCACCCTTCCTCCAATTATAGCTCAGCCCAGCCATGCCCTCCTGCTTCCCACACTCCCCCAGGAGGTGCCTTCTGCCCCTCCAGCGTCCCACAACCACTTGAATCATCCTCCCTGAAGACTTGGGCACCATGAGATAGCCTCAAAACCAGGTGGGCCTGAGTTTACCAGGAAGAAAATAAAATGTCTAAGCTGCTTCTTCCCTGGATCAGTGTGGCTACAGATCTGGGCTGGGGCTGAGAGAAGGCTGAGCAGAGCCGTGGAACGGAACACGGGGAAAGGGACTGATGGGTAGGGGGATGGATGTTTGGAAGGATTGATAGGTAGAGGGACACAGAATGGATGACTAGGTGAATGACTGGGAAGATGGACTTATGGGTAGATGAATGGGTGGTTGGATGGGTGGATGGACTGATGGATGAGTGGATGGGTGGATGGATGGGTATATGAATTGGTGTGCAGATGGATGGATGAGTGGGTGAGTGTATGAATAGCTGGGTAGATGGAGGGCGGATGGATTGACAACATGGGCAGAGAATAAAATCAAGTGTCTGGGCAATCCCCGGGAACCATGAGGAGGGTTAGCAAAAGGAAAGGGAACCTGAGCTAGGCCTCCCTACCCCTGGGCAGTCGGGGTCACCATGCACTGCCCTCTCAGCTCAGGGCGGTGGGCTGCAGTGGCGAGCCTTCACCTGAAATTCAGATTTCATCACTGCAAACGTTCTCAGAGATGCAGGAAAGGAAGGTCCCCAAGTGCGCAAGAGGCCATTTCCCACCACACACATTCCACACTCACCTCGAATTTTGCCTCGTCCCTGCATTGAGTAGGCAGGGGGACAGCTGCGGCCAAAGCGAGTAACTTTCGGGTCCAAGAAATAGACGGGCCCTGGGCTGGAATCCTGAAGAGGTGCTGGAGAAAGGAGCCATAGTCCCAAAGGCGCCCTGAGGCCAGCCTCCCCTCCCCCTGCCCAGAGCCTCCAGAGAGTGTGGAGGTGTGTCTCAGCTCGGGAGCCACAGCCCGGGAAGTCCTGAGGCTCCTGAAAGGGACCAAGCAGAGGGACTGTGGGGGCACGCCAGCCCCAGCAGGACCTCGGCTCACAGGGAGTCACCCTGAGTCACCCTTGAGATGGCTCAGCCTGCCTGACCCACATTTTCACATCAACGTGCAAGGAAGAGGTCACTGATAACCACAAGCTAGTCACCGGGTCACCGGGTTCGACTCCTAAACCACTCCCACAGGCCCTCAGTTGAGGGTTCTAGGCGGAGCTCCACCCCTGACCACATCCCTAACCCCTCACGAGGGAGGGGGATTCTAGGAAGGGGCGCCACTCTTTTTTTCCTTACACCCTTCTGAGTTTAAGGAAAGACATGATCCTTCTGCCTCAGCTTTTGAGTGGCCAGAATGACAGGTCTGTACCACAATGCCTGGCCTGATCACTGATTGTTGAACTTTAGGCGCGCTAGCATAAGGATGGTGAGCATCGGGGTTCAGTGGGAGTGGCAAGTGTTGGCGGGTCCATGCTCGGCTCTCCCGGTGAGTGAGAAGCCTCACCAAGTCTTCCTCAATGCCTCATGAGTCCCAGGCTGTGCATAGGTACCACCTACATGTGGGCTTCTGTGCAAGGTCACAAAGGGTTTGCACAGGGGCTCCCGGCCATCACCAAGGTGGTCACTAATGCTAGCGAAGGCCATCAGGAACACCCCTGTTCCCCTGTCTGACTGACAAGAATTTGTTTTCAGCCCTCCCCTAGCGCAGAGTTCATCTAAATGACCCCCAGGATAGGAGGAGTGGGGTCACAGTCACCAATATATGCTGAGCCACACACAGGAAGGTGCCTGTCCCTCAGCACCTCAGCCAGTCCGGCAAGCAGGGTGGATATCGCTCACCCTGCATGGGCAAACCTCCCTGCCCATTTTCCTCCGCAGTCCTGTGACAGAAAGACCCAGCTTTCTCATCAGGATGTGTCCCCCTGACCTGCAGGCTGTACCTATTGTCCCCTTCTCCTGGGACCTCCTTCACCATTTTGTTTTGTTTTGTTTAGAGGGATGGGCAGGGTCTCTCTATTATGTAGCTCTGGCTGTCTTGCTACGTAGATCAGGCTGGCCTTGAACTCAGAGATCTACCTGCCTCTGCCTCCCAGGTGCTGGGAGTAAAGGTGGGCCCCACTGCCCAGCAGAGACTTCATTTTTAATTTTAAATTATATGTACTTGTAGGGGAAGGTTTATGTACTTTGGATGCAGAGTCCTCAGAAGATGGCATCAAGTTCCACGGGAGGTGGAGCTACAGGAGACTGTGAGCCACACAATTCAAGAGCTGCAGGAACTCTCTCAGGCTGAACCATCTCTGCAGCCCCACCCCAGGGGAGTTGCTGTGGGCGTAAAATCTTACTTACCTTCCAGAGCCCGGATCCCACTGTCCACGCTGGGCCCTTGCCTGTCCCAGCTTGATTAGAGGCTCAGTGGATCCTGCAGCCTTCTGTCTAATGGACTACAGCAGTTCCTGACCCAGGTGGCCTCCATCCAGCCCACTGGGCCTCAGAGCAGCTTTAGGGCCAAGCGCTGAGACTGAAAGCTGATGTGTTCAGCCAACGTCAATGAGAACTCAAATGTTGCTGTGGGGCCTAGATGCACTCATGCACTTTATTTGAGTGCTTTTTGGACACCAAGCAGAACTGTGGCTCCTCCTCCTCCTCCTCCTCCTCTTCTTCCTCTTCTTCTTCTTTATCTTCTTTTTCTTCTTCTAGGTCTTCTTCTGAATCAAGCCCAAGGCCTTATACGTTGTAGGCAAGTGTTCTACTCACTGAGCTATGTCCCACACCTTTGCCACCAATATTCAACCATCAGAATATTGGTATCTGGCCACCTGTGGTAATATACATCTGTGATCACAAGGACTCACCAGATGTGGCCCAGCAAACGGCAGGGGACCAGCCCTACCTGCAATGACGTGCTCACCCTGAGACTTACTTTGGAGAGGCTCTGGAGGCTGGAGGTAGCCTGTGCTCCTCAGCTGGCCTTACCTTCACTGGGTCTCCGAGCAAGTGAGTAGGCAGGACTGGCTGCCTTGGTGCAGTCGTGGTTGACATAGCCAACAGTGGACGGAAGAACATACAAGCCAGGTCCGGAGCCTGAGACCCAAAGACCAGATCAGCTGGTGTTTGGAACCCCGTGAGGCCAGGTAAAGGGTCCCACCCTGGACCCCAGCCACCTCCAACCCAGAGTACAGAAAGAAGTCCTGGAGGACTGGGTGCGCCTGCATTGTGAGCTAATCATGAATCAAAGGGCTATAGAGACTTGGAGAACAGAGACCAAGGAAGACAGACTAACACAGGAAGGAAACAGGCCGGAAGCAAAGACTATCGCCGGTGGTGAAACTGAGGCCAGGAGCAGACCAGTTTTCTCACAACAGGTTACTAAAGCCAAAGGCATAGACACTGTCACAGGTGGGGAAACTGAGGATAGGAACAGAGAGGCTATCATAAGTGGGAAAACAGTACAGAGCAGAGAGACCATTGCAAGAAAAGAACTGGGGCAAGAGTATAAAGACCACCACAGGTAGGGAAACTGAGGCTGGGGGCATACAAACCATTGAAGGAGGGAAACTAAGCCCAGAGAAGAGAGCTGATCTCAGGTTGTGTGGGTAAATGGGGAAACTGAGCCCAGGACAGAGAAACACCACCTCAGAGGTGGGGAGAGGGAACGTAGTATAGGTCTGACCCCACCGTCCATCATAGGATGGAAAACTAAAGCACAAGCTGTAGCCTGAATCCTATGCAAATGCCCCCCCCAGCACCCAGCTTCAGCTCCTCTACACACCCCTTAGCTCTGCAGTCCCCCACAGGCACCCTCCCTCTAACTTCCTCCCTCAGGTTCGGCCATCCTGTGCTCAGCCTGCTTCCCTGCAGGACAAGCGTGCAGGAGGTCCAGCAGATCCCACAGGGGACATATAGACCTACCTACAAATACTGCCTCTACTGAACTCTAGATCACCCCAGGAACCCAGTAGGGGGACAGGAGAAACCCTCCCCCACCAGGCCAGCACGAACCATTCTCCAGGGTGTTCATTCCACAGGACTTCCTCAGCCCGGTCTCTGGAATGTGGCCCTCAGCCACCCGCCTGGCCAGGGGTACTGTGGCCAGCCTAGCTGCTGGGTCGCAGCTGAGGGTCCCCATGGTGAACAGGGCCTGGAGTGGGCTCCTGCTACTCTGCTACTCTGGTGCTCCAAACCAGGCACTGTCCCCAATCCTCACAGCTCAGCTGGTGTTGGCAGAGGCCTGGGCTCACCACACCCTCCCCACTGCACAGACAGCCTCTTGTCCCTTAGCAAGGATCTCAGGGTCTGGCCAGAGCCAGGCTGCTCGGCCGGACGCTGGCCTGGAAGTAGAGCTGAGATCAAGTGTCAGCCAGGTGGCTGGATGGTCCAGGAAAGACTCCAGTGTCAGCCGAACAGGTCCCCAGAGAGTGGGCTGAGCTGGGCCATGGGGCCAGAGCAGGCCCCAGGGAGCCTGGACTGCAAACAGGGCACCCACCCACAGCAGTATGGATGAAGGGCGTTGCGCCCCATTTCCACGGAGCCCAGGGTTGTGTACGGCATGTGTCCAGCTCTCAGCCAGGTGCGTGTGGGTGCCTTTCTTCATTCATCAGCAAGCGTGTACTAAGCACCTGATGTATCCCAGAGTCTGTTCAGAGAGGTATGAACAAGACAGGAATAGACTGATAAAGGTGGGTATTCTTGGGGTGTCAAGAGAAGCTAATGGATAAATTCAATAGACAAATCATTCTGGTAGGAACCACGCTGCGAAGGGAGACCATGTCAGGATGAGACCAGCTCTGCAAAGGTCCTGAGGCAGAGCTGAGGGCAGAGCAGGACAGGATAATCCTGTTTTCACCTTTGCTGAAGGCTACCACTGTGTCCCCACCAGAGAGCTCTGGGAAGGTTAGGAGAATGACACTCAGAGATATTTCTTCCTGTTTGCTTCTGTGCTGCTGGACATTTTTTTTTTAAATGTAGTGACTTAGGTGTTTTGCTTTGTATTGTTCTGTTTTGTTTGCAACAAGGTCTCACTATGTAGCCCAGGTTGGTCTTGAACTCCTGATCCTCCTGCTTCAGCTTCCCCAGAGATAGGATCACATTCAGGAGGTGACAGAGCATCACGTTTTCCTTCTTTAGTCACAATGGAGGAAGCGAAGGCTCACATGATAAATATTCTCAGAGTCCCTCAGAAACACACCAGCAGGCCTGAGCCCTGGGGATACCAGAAAATTTCACATCAGCCACTTTGGGTTCTAGCCCCAGATTGGCACTCTGGGCCCTGTGGGTCTCTGAAGCCTTAGAAGGGAGTCTCCGAAGGGCCCATAGCCCAACATGCATGTCCTTGTCTTCTCAGCCTGATCTACTCAACTCAACCCTCGTCACACGAGGTTCGATGCTGGTCCTGGAGCCCCCAGGATGCTTCAACCCCAGGTCCTCCCACAGTAAGGGTTCCTCAGTCAACCAACCTGTTGTAGTGGTGCACAGCTCCCTTCTCAGGGACCAGACCCCTCAGCCTGCCAGCTCCCATCAGGCAATATTCTGATCCAGACCACAGCAGTCTGGGAAGCAAGAAACAAGGACCTGCCTGTCCTGAGCTCACCATGCCAGAAACCTAGGCGAATACATTCATGTCCTTCTACAATGTCAGAAACACACACCAGGCATCCAATGAGGGGTTGATGGGGGGCTAAGACACCACAGTGTCCATCATTTATGAGAGAGATTCTCATGGGATCCAGGTGAAGGTGTATATCTCCTCTTTTCAGATGTGTCTGGTAAATTCTTTGTCCTGTTTTGCCTGATGTAATTTTAAAATGTCCATGTGTCCTCCACAGTCTCAAGTCATCTCCATAAACATAGAGTGGCTCTCTTCCTACTACCAGAAATATGTCGTGTATCACCCACATAGATGATGCGGCTTCTGGGTCCACCCAAGGGCTGTGGTCATTCTGCTCCCTCAGAAGAAAGTCAAAGGCTGCTTGTAAAATGGATAGTGGTAGTTATCTAGAGCAATGCATAGTCTGAGAGAAAGATTGCTGTCTTATATAATATGGAGTAACTTAGGTAAGGCACACCCTGGACAGAGCCCCGTTCCACCTCCCTACAACCAGAGCCTCCCATTGACCAAAACCAGTCAGAAAGGCAGGAAGACAAAACCCCTGACATCAGCCATAGACCCAGAGCCAGGCAGAGAGAGGGCACCAGGCCTGACAGACAGACCTCATCCAAGGCCGTCTGGGCCCAGGCCATCAGACAGCCCTGGAGTGCAGGAATCCAGGGCTCAACCCTGAATGTCTCCATGTCTCCATGATGGTCAGGAAAGGAGGTTTAGGGTAAAGGCTTTGAAGTGAGGAACGTAGAGTGGAGGGAGAGAGGAAAGAGAAAGACACAGTGGAAAGGGGGGCAGAGAGAAAATGGGACCAGGTATGGAAGGCCTGGTCTGAGCAGAAAGGACCATGTCTTGACACATGGCAATGGAAGGCTTGGGGATTGGTGGAATCAGGAGGCCATGGCACAGGGAACTCACAAGTACCCTCTGGTGGATGAAAGGAGAACAGGCCCTAGCTTGTTTGTGCAGGTCTATGGAGAGATACTAGGAAGGAAAGATGGGAACAGATGGGAGATGGTGGTGATAGTGGAGAATAATAGAGGATGGAGGTTTGTGGGAGGATTGGGGAGAGTAGATGATCATGGAGAGTGATAGAGGGTGATGGAGGATGGAGGAATAGTAGAGGATTGTGGAGGATAGCGGCGGATATCAGGATGGTGGAGGATGATGGCAAATATCAGGAGGGTGGAGGATGGTTGAGGATGATGAATATGGAAGATGGTGGAGGATGATAGAGGATGGTGGAGGATGTGGAGGATGTCAGGATAGTAGGAGGGTGAAGGATCATGGAGGATGTGGAGGATGATGGTAGGATGGGTGGGTGGCAGAAGGATGCTGGGAGGAGATGGGAGACTGAGAGATGGTGGCAGCGGACAGCACAGTTGATGGACACCCACATTGTGTATGATGATGTCTCCGGAGCTTCCTTTTCTACATGGCTCTTACAAGCTTTGCCCATCTGATCTGGTCTCTTATACATGTCTCTCCTCAGTAGCCTTTCTTTCAGGTGTGTTTCTGCCATAGCAGCTGTGAGAAGTCATTTGATGGCTTCAAACACACAGTTTGTTTTCTCTGTCTCCTCTGTCAGCTGTGACAGACTGGCTCCTCCTTGACACTGTGTAGACAGGCCTGTCTCATCTACATGCCTCATCCCTGAGCCTGAGGCGGCCTCCTCTCTCCTCAGAGCCAGAATCTGACTCATCTGCCTTCCTCAACACAATGGGGTCTCTGGTCATTCAGGAAGAGAAATTTTCAAAGACTTCAAGGAAGTGGGAATCCTTGGGGCAATCTGGTTCTGCAGATCCTGAGGGGGAGCGGTTTATAGGGAAGGACACCACAGGCGAGACACTGTGTCCTACTTAGGGTTTCTACTGCTGTGCCTGAATCACCGTGAGTGAAAGAAATTTGGGGAGGGTGTTAATCTGAATGAGAATGGTCCCCATAGGCTGGTGTATTTGAATGCTTTGTCCCTAGTTGATGAACTTTGGGGGAAGGATTAGGAGCTGTGGCTGCATCGCAGGAGGTGTGGCTTTGTCAGAGGAAGTGTGTCACTGGGGGTGGGCTTGGAGGTTTCAAATGCCCACACCAGACAGTCTCTGTCTCCAACCTGTGGATTGCGTGTAGGCTCTCAATTACTGCTCCTGCACCCTGCCTGCTCCCTGCCCTTAAGCTCCCTGCCACGATGGTCCTGGACTCACCCTGACACTATAAGCAAGCCCCCAATAAAATGCTGTCGGGGATTCCTCGGAGTCCCAAAGCATCAGCCTAAGTACAGGTTTAAGAACTTCAGCAACCATCCTAGTGGTTTTTACTGGACACTGCATAACCTCATTTTTTGTTTTTTGGGTTTTTTTCTTTTTTAACAACAACAAAAAAAAGGAGGTTTTTGCCAACACCCCGGTGAGCTGTTTGGGTTCAGGCAGAGGTTTAAGGACCTTCAACCAACACCAAGGAGTCACCGTAGCCAGAAGGTTTCAGTTGTCCTTTCAATGTGCCTGAACCCAGAGTGACAGCCTAAACCAAGCACAAAGGAGGAAAAGATAGACTGACAGCCTTCAGTCTGTGGAGGCTTCAGGCCTTTGGTCTGACGCCAAAGGCCAGGGGACTCAACTTTCCTGCTAGAACTGGAGGTCCTGTCATATTCACGTTGGGCACGAGTTACCAGCCCAGGCCGCTTTTCCCCGTGGGGTTTCCAGGCGCCATTGGGCACCCAGCTGGACAGAGGGTGGGTAGGGTATGAGTGCAGGAGAAACAGCCTTCTCTGGAGACAGTTTTCAGTGAGATAGCTCTCTTTATTGAGGGGAAACAAGGGCTACATAAACCTTGGGGAGTGCACAGGAGTACTCGGGCTGTGTGCCTTCTTAACTGGGGCCAAGGTGCTGGGAATGCTTCATTTGCAGGAAAAATTCCAGGTGCTTTCTGGACATGTCCTTGTAAGGAGATGGGAAGTTTAACCTGAAACCTGGCCACCAGACTACGTGACTGCCTCAAGGGGGGCAGAGGTAGGCGTGCAGGCTCGGAGCAGGAAGGATCCAGCCCTGTTCCTGCCAGTCTCAGAACGAGGCTTTCGGGGTTTGAACACATCTTGGCCTCATTTTTGCTCCAGAGTGGCTTCCCTAGCTTACTGTCTCCACACTCATATATGTGAATGCTTGGTCCTTCTTTGGTGGAACTGTTTAGGAAGGATTAGGAGGTGTGGCCTTGTTGGAGAAAGTGTGTCACTGAGAGTGGGCCCTGAGGTTTCAGAAGGCAACATTAGGCCCAGTCTCTCTCTCTTTCTGCTTCCAACTTGTGGGTAAGATGTAAGCTTTCAGCTACTGCTCTAGCAAAATGCCTGCCTGCCTTGCGGCCATGATAGTCACGGACTAACTCTCTGAATCTGTAAGCAAGCCTTCAAATCAATGCTTTATTGTAGAAGTTGCCGTGGTCACGGTGTCTCTTCAGCATTAGAACAATAGCTGAGACAAGCGGAAAGGGGTCTATTTCAGCTTATGTGTCCTGACCACAGCCCTTCATGATGGCTAGTCAGG